AAAGGAAAAAAATTGGGGTTTGGACGGTTCAGTCTGCCTCCTTTTCAGGCACGATGGTGAAGATTGAGGGACAGCACTTGCCTTTCCACCATTTGCCTTGGGCTCAGTTCGGTGCTCACATCGCTCGTGTGAGCAGATCGTTGATGCTTTAGCCATTTCAGGATGGGAATGCCAAGTCTGGTGACCATTGACTTGTCCTGTAGCATAAAGCCTCCCCAAAATAATATAAAAATTAGCTCTTTAAAGCCAGAGCACTCGCTTGCAAATGTTGCTTAATGCTTATTTAAAGTGTCCTCTGCTTTAGGGAAGCTCAGCCCTGGTAGGATGCTCAGGTGCCAGCCTGGGCAACAGTGGGGAAGATGCAGTGTAGGATGCAGGACAAGGGCTTCCCACTACAGCAAGAGGAAAAACCCATGGGCAGGTGATAGGTAGATTATTGGGGTTATAATGAAAGAGTTTTCTTCAGGGGTGGGAATTAAGGGGCCAGTGAAGATGGGAAGGGAGAGCTGGAGGTCACCGGCTTGGCAGAGATGAACTGCGTGGAGCAATTAATCCACGTAACACTCAGTATCGTTAAACTCCCGGGTTTACGCAATGTTTCACTTGCGCGGGGGCTCAGAGTGTTGTTTTCAGAGAAATTGCCTGAGAGAAACTTGGAACTGTTGGGGGGATGCCAAGCAAGCAGCAGGCTCCCAAAACCCACCGGCTGGGCTGACCCCACTGCAGCAGGTCCCGCTGCTACGGGGGACCTGGAGCTGCGGAATCCCTGTTGCCTGGGGATGGTGCCTGGAGGAATCCAGCCTAACGTGGCCAAGGATGAGCAACTGGAAAAATGGAGAAAAGCAGAGAGGAGGAGCTCGGAGAGAGTGGTGTTTTTTTTTTTTAATAGGCTGGGAGAAAGCAAGTGTAAGAATGAGAACGTTTATCCTAGGGAAGTTAGTTTTTCTGCATCTGGTATCTTAAATTCCGACCTCCTTGGGGTTTATTTTTTTCCCTGTATAGGGGCAGTGAAGCGTGACAAGACAGCAAGATGTGGACCCAGCCTTGTGGACCGCTCCCAGCGAGCTGAGCATCCTGTATCGTGGTAGCAGAGCTCCAGCTGACACAGCGCATCGTGTCTGGTGCTCCCAGTAAGAGCCGCAGGTCGAGCAGCAAAGACCTGGGGACCAGGGGCTGTCACAGGGTCTGGGCACCACTTCTGTGCTGCAGCGTCTTCGAGGGAGCAAAAAGTGCTGCGACGATGAAGTGTATTCCTCATCTTCTTTCTTTTGGTTTAAACTCTGTCCCCTGGCTCTCCCCTTCCCCTCCCACGTCCCAGGATTTCAGCTTCCGCTAGTCGCGTTTGGGATTGCTGTGCCGGATATCCAGGCTGTATTCCTGTCACACGGAGCTGACCTAAGAGATGGAAATTGGTTAAAATAGTACCAAAACCTGGCTCATTTGTACCTCCTTATTTCTGCCATGCCCTTCCCTGCTTGTCATAGCTCCAGACAGGGCTGTTAGCAGAAGCTGCTGCCAAAAGTCTTCTCCCTGCCAAGAGCCCCTCCATGGGAGCTCATGAGGATCTTGCTGGAAACTAACCTAGAGCATAAAACCAGTTTTAGTCCGGATCAGTTCCCTACCTCAGTTTGTCCCAGGTCACCGAGGTTGGATGTGGGAGGCAGCGAAACCGCGACCCGTATTTATTATGACTTGCCTAGCGGAGATGCACACGAGCCAGAAGCGAACTGGCAAGTCTTTCCTCGGAGTCGGAGGGATTCTCTTTCACGCCGGTATATTTTAATCCAGGTAAGCTGTTAAGTATTTTATGCTGTTTGTTTCCCCAGTGGTAGACTCTGCTCTGTTATGTTGCGCTTTTGGCTTTCGTGAGCAGCTTTGCACAATAATAAATCTGCGTTAAAGCAAACCCTTTCAGTCTCCTCTCTTTTTTTCTTTAAAGAAGAGAAAAGAATTGTCACGTAGTAACGTGTGTGCGCGTTTTCAGCCTGAAAAGTGTCACCTGTGAAATATTAGAACTTTTTTAGAATCAATATGGACGTGGCAGGAGGGTTTTGAGATTAAATTGGTGTGTGCCCCAAGGTCCTGAGCATTGCTGCGGCCAAACCTTGGATGCGAGAGCTCCTGGGGGTGCAGCGGAGCCACGTGTCTCCTCCAGTGATGCTGCGGCTTTGAGTCGCTGCAGGTCTTGAAGTTGGACGGTCGAAAATGCTGCTTGGCCGGCACGTTAACTCCTGTTAACATAGAGCCATTGGCTCCGGCACTTGCGATGGCCAGGTTTCCCAAAATAGATGGTGGTTGGTTTGTTTGGTTTTTTTTTCTATATAAAGATATTCACTAGTCCTGCGCACGCGTTGCCCATCCCTGCTGCGAATCGTGGCCGGCACGCGCGGTCCCTGCTGCGAGGGTGGGCTGGCGTGGCTCCATCCTCGCTGCTTGTGTCTTGGAGCCTCAAAAGGGAGAGTACGGAGGAGAGCCCATGAAAATGGAGCCAGAGCCTTGGTTCCCTTGTGGGATGTTTATCGTGGGGTTCTAGAGGTTGGACACATAATGGAGCGGGCACTGTTGGCTGTTTAGAGTGGGGTTGACTTAATGACCGAATTTACTGCGCCGTCCCATGCTAGGAGGGGATGCAGGCATGGGACCAGGCAGGCCATAAAACGTGTGGCCATAAAATCACGGGCAGCCCACGGGAACGAGCCGAGGGAGAGCGGGGAGATGCTGGAGCCAGAGGGATGCTGGAGCCAGGCTGCCCAGGAGCTGTCTGCTCTGCCCGGATGGTGCCCACTCAGGCTTGCTGGCTGTAAAAAGGTTAAAGAAGCTCTTTCATCCTCCCGTGGGATAACCCAATTCCTCTGGGCACCCCCTCAGCACCGGCAGTGCCCTCCCTGCCTGCTCCTGCTATCTGTGGCTTCTT